TTTTAATGATATTGCTCAGAATGGTTTCCTCCCAGATGATGACTGAGAATCTAATTATTTAAAAAAAATGGTGCCAAGTACCACAAGAGTAATCAAACTGTGCTGTTTCCTGGGATTCTGTTTTTTACTTTTTTGTTGCTGTTTTTTTTTATTTATTTAAAATGGAGTGTGCTGGATGTCTCTACAATTTTGTTCAAAGGACTGCAGAACCTGGAAAAGCTGTTGCTGCCAAAAAAAAAAAAATAAGTGACACACTGGAAGACAAATGTCACACAATTTCAATTTTATGTGTAACCTAGAAATGATGAACTTATGGGAACAGAGAGCAGAATTGGGGCTATTAGGCTTCAATGTGGGTCTTTTAACAATGGGGAAATGTTTGGTTTAAGGATATAAAACTGCAGTTGGACAAGAGGCATGGACTCTCTGAAGTCTTGAGGTCTACTGAAAGCATGATAAATATGGTTGATAACAATATGCTATATTTTAAAAGTTGTAAGATAGTATCTTTTAAGTGTTCTCAAAACGAAAATGATGAATATGTGTGATATAACATGTTAATTGGTTTAATTTAGCCATGCCATGTGAACATACTATATTCTGTATCATAATTGTGCATGACTTTATTTATGAGCTAAATAAATGACTGGAGAAAAAAAAAGGTGATGATTAATTCTTTGTACCCATTCCTGCCCTCAATCTCCTTGATGAGTGGGTATGCACCATAAAGGTTTACAATAGAACTGACTGATTCTTTTTCATATATAAAGTTTAGGTTTGTGATTGCTTTCAAATCCCCTAAAGATTACCTTTCGAAATAAGTAATAAAGTAATTGGCCATCTTCTTTTATTTTGTAACTGCAAAGCACAGCCTGCCAGTAAAAGACCTAACTGAAAAAAATATCTTGCTTGCCTATGCAGTTACTCATAAGTTGCTAGGGCATGAATGTATATGGGTTCTTGGGATAATTTGTTTTCTGCCTGTAGTACACAAAATGTTTAATCATGTAAGGGATATGTAATACACGGTTTTTTTGCCTGGATTCATTATAATCATTCACTTGAAAAATAGAATGTAACCACATTGTAATTCTTATATTGCCTGAAAAACTTTGTCAGGGTATATAAGCTGTACAAAAAGCATACAGTAGAAAGAAAACAGAAGAACAGAAAAATAAAGAAGGAAATCATCTAGAGAGAGTGTGAATGTCTAATTTTCCTAACCCCTCAGATAGAAAAGTCTAGTACTCGTTAACTCTATGAATTTCCCTTTGAGGATTGTGGGGTTGGAGGCTGCTCCCCCCGCAAGGCAGGAATAAGTAGAGAAGATGTCTTTGGCTCCATGTCTATGACAGAACATTAGGTAACATGGCATCAATGTAGAACGAAAACCACCTTATACATCAACCTATCCACTTGTAGGCATGGGAAACTGTCTTTGTTTTAGTAATTGAATGAAAAACTGAAATAACCATTACAGTACCTTCATATACTTGTTCAGTTACTTTTCAAATATAATTTTTGTCCCAGAAGGAGAATAGTAAGACAATTGCTCTGTTTCAAATATTGTAACCCAAGAATAAAATTATGGAACTACTGGTGAGGTCAAGGAGTTGGAGGTACTCAAACCCACATCTTTTAATACTTCAGCTCACTTACAACTTATGCCATCTATTAACATTGAAACTACACCGCTGTTTCAAATAGTTAGCTCCCTAATACTAAGCAGTCATAGTTATTTAGTATGTATTCCATTTTAAGTTAATAAAATAAGAAAACAAAACAGTGAAAAAGGTTCCATGAAAATACCTAAACATGTTTATACACTGAAACGTCAACTGTGGCTTTTTCAATCAAATATCCTCGACTCATTTTTAAATGAACCAGATTAGGGAGGGAAAGAAACTTACATTTTACTTACAGTCTCCTGGGGTTCTGCTATGAAGATAATGGGAACTTTAAATTTATGGTCGATAAATGGCGTATACATATTGGATATTGTGAAGACTTCAGGTTACAGTAACTTGAGTTTAGACACCCTTGTACACCTTATAACAGAGTTGTGCCTTTTGAAGTTAGTTTTGTTAACTGTTGTTTTAAAACAATTACTTCAAGAAAACTAATGGGTTGGTACTATGGACCAGATAATGGGGTATTACGGTGTAATCGGAGTTTGAGAAGTTGTACATTGCTCTTCAGGCACACATGTCC